TGAGCAAAAGAAAAATAGATAACTGGACTTCATCACAATTAAAACTTTTTTTTCAACAAAGGACACTATCAAAAAAGTGAAGACAGTCTACAGAATGGGAGAAAATATTTGCAGATCATATATCTGACTTAGTATCCAGAATATTTAAAGAACTCCTACAATTCAGTAAGACAAATAACCAATTAAAAATTGGACCCCCAAAATGGACAAAGCCTTTAAATAGGTATTTGTCCAAAGATACAGAAATGGTCAACAGGGACAAAAAAAAATGCCCAGTTTCATTAGTCATGAAGGAAATGTAAAACAAAATTGCAGTAAGATACCATTTAACACCTACTTAGATGGCTAAAGTTAAAAAGACAGACAAGTACTGGCATGATTGTAAAACTCTCATAAACTGCTGGTGGGAATGCAGAATAATGTAGTGCTTTAGGAAACAGTTTTTTCAACTCCTCAAAAGGATAAAATAGAGTTACCATATAACCCAGAAATTGGGATATGCCTAGGAGGAATAAACACATAATGTCCACACTAAAACTTATACACAAATGTTCATAGTAGGACTGTTCATTACAACCAAAAAGTTGGAGGGTGGGGGGAAATCCATAACTATCAATACATTAAAAGATAAAATGTGGTATATCTGTTCAATTAAATATTACTTGGCCATAAAAAGGAATAAAATACTGATACAGGTATAACATGGATGAACCTAAAAAACACTGTGTTAAGTCAAAGAAGCCAGTGACAAAGGCTATATTTTGTAAGATCAATTATATCTCAACAAAGTTGTTTTTTTCCCAAAGATATGTAGTAGAAAAAGTCATGGTGACTATAGTTAATAATACTGTATTGTATATTTGACAGTTGCTGGAGATCTTTAAAAAAAATTGTAACTACGTATGGAGATGGATGTTAACTAAACTTACTCTGGTGATTGTTTTGCAATATATCAAATCATTATGTTGCACACCTGAAACTAATACATTATCTGTCAATTAAAGCTCAACTGAAAGAAGGAATTTTTTAAAAGGCATCCTATAAACTACAAGAATAAAACAAGAAGGAACAAAAGAAAAAAGAGCATCTAATTTTTCCATTTTTCTTTAGATGCAGCCTCAACTTCCAAAATCTTATCTCCTTATACATTCATATTTTGTCCATGAACAACAAAAACTACTGAAACTAACTCAACTATTGAAATTATTAAAACATGAAAAAAAAGTGTCCCTGAAATAATTAACTTTCAAACAATTCTACTTTAGCACCAACTCTGAACTAAACATAAATCTCAGTTTCAAAATATCACATAAAGATTACAAATTCTCAGAGGTTTAAGCAAATTGCCAACTTTTCTGAGTAAACAGTAATTCAGATATGCTTTGATGAAAATGTAAATATTTACCTGCCTCAAAGAAATAAAATTCTATAAACCTTGTGTTCCCAAATGACGAAGAGAAAGAAACATGCATTTTTTAAAATTCAGAATTTTGTTTTAGAATTAATTTTAACCTAGCCAGGATACACATAGTTGATGGTTTATACTAAGCAATGTATAGCCTGCTTTTGCCTACAACATACTGAAAACATGGCATTTATAAAGTCACAACAATTAAGTTGGGACCTGAGAAAAATCACACTGTACAGTAAATCTGACAGATATTAATATCAAAAAGCTCCTGAAAATACCTGCAGAACTCCTATTTTGGAAACTCCCTAGGTTATTTGGTCTTCCTATAAATATTTACTGACCATCTACCACGTGCCAAGCACTGCACCTGGTACCAAGATGCCACGGTGAGCTACAAGCAGACCAAGTTCCTGCTCGCAGGAAGCTTAGGCTAAAATAGTGTTTGTCAAATTGGTCTGATCATAATAAATGATGAGCTTGTTAAAAAGTCAAAATCTGCTCCTCTACCTCGGAGAGTCTGAGTCCGTGGGCCCAGGGTGAGTTGTGACGCCTGTATTTTCCCCAAGCGCTCCAGATTATTTCTACACCCTGGCTGTTTGGGGGAGTCCAGTGCTCAGGAACAACCCATTTCATCCAGCGGGAGCCACACCTCCAAAGTCCATTTCGCTCAGCATCCTTCACCCTGACTGACAGACACCCCTAACACACCACGAAACTGAGGTGGGTGTAAAGCATTCCAAAATCACTGTGCTGAGACATCCACAGATTTGCTTCCTTCCGAGGACGGACAGCTCACTCCTCAGATTCTTTCTACCTGGGGCTGTCTGCGCACCTGAGCCTCCGGGGGCTGGGCCGACACCTGTCGCCCAGTGACAGCCGTCTACCTCTCCCGTGGGCTGAGGCGAAGAGGAGGCACCGCGCACATTAGGCGCCGACTGTATACCCCCCACGCCCCAGGCACGCGCGCACACACTCGCGCGGAAACTGAGGCGGGCAGGCGGCAGACTGGGTCCCGCCGCCGAGCGGCGCGAGGCACGGCTCGAACGCGGACAGCGGGACGGGTTCCGCCTCAGGGTGCTCGTCAGACGCCGAGGCCCGGCCCGGCCCGGCTCGCACCGACGGAGTTTCACAAAGAAAGTCTCCCGGCCCGCGCCCCTCACGCACTCCCGCGCGCCGGCGCCGGCGGCGACTCAGACTCACGCCGCC